GCCCTACAGAGGACTGGAGGTACAGTACGGGAACTGTGCCCCATCTGACCCAACCACACCGAGGCAAAACACTAAGGGCGTGCAACAGAACAGCAAGGGGAGCAGAGCAAGGAAGTCCAGAGGGAGTGCCCAAAAATAGAATTTGGGGTCAGTGTGTGGCACTCCATGAGACTCAACCAGAAAACACTTCTAAAGGTCAACAAACAGACCTTGAACTATTTACAAGCTTGTGTATGTGTGTGTGAGTGATTGATTTGTTGTTGTTGTTGTTTTGTTTTGTTGCTTTGTTTTGCTCTGTCTGGGTTTTGTGCATATTATTGTCTCTGCAGGTCTATCTCTATAAGATAGGCTGGTTAAACAATCTGGAGGAGAAAGCAACGGGACTGATGGTTCCAGGTGACATGGGAGAGGGGTGGGGAAGGGGAGGTAGGGGCAAAGGGAGTAGGTGTTAACAAACCCAGGGACAAGGGAGCAACAAGTGATCCAAAATCAGTGGTGAGGAGGGTGTAAGAGGCCTGGTAGGGCTTGATCCAAGGCAATGTAACCAAGATAAATTACTGAAACCCAAGTGAAAGCTAAGCATGATAATGGGACAAGAGGAAAGTAAAGGGAGATAGAGGAAAGAACTAGGAGGCAAAGGGTATTTATAGAGGTCTAATTACAGGTATGTACATGTGTAAATATATTTATATATGAGGATGGGGAAATAGATCTATATGCCTATATTTATAGGTTTAGGATTAAGGTTGCAGATGGACATTGGGCCTCTACTCAAATACTCCCTCAGTGCAAGAACACTTTGTTCTATTAAACTGACACTGAATGATGCTCATCTTCCTGACAAGATCGTTGAAGACAAAGTGGGTGCATAAGCAAATGTGGTAAAGAAAGATGATGGTGCCCGGCTATCAAAAGATATAGTGGCTGGGGTCTTAAAGGCTTGAAGGTAAACAAGTGGCCATCTAGTTCAGAAGCAACAATGCGCACATGGAAGAAGCACACCAGCCTGTGTGATCACGAGGTGTCAAAGGGATCAGGCATCAGGCTTCAAAGAACAAAAAAATAATATCGAGAATGTGGGGGAGCGCAGTGGGGATTCAAAGCCCATTTGTAGACAGCTGGACATCCCCTTACAGAAGGGTCATGGAGGAGATGAGTCAGTCAGGATACAGTGTAGCCATGATGAAACATACAACTCTCCTCTAGTTCTTAAATGCTTCTTCCCCACCACTATCATGATCCCAATTGTATGTTACAAATCCGGCTGGATCAGAGCATGTACACTGGTACAGATAGGAACTGGGAACACAGGGAACCCAGGACAGATGAACCCTTCAGGACCAGTGCTGACAATGGCAATACCAAGAGGGTAAGGGTAAGGTTGGGTAGAAAAGGGGAACCTATCACAAGGATCTACATATAACCCCCTCCCTGGGGGACGGACAACAGAAAAGTGGGTAAGGGGAGACATCAGACAGTGTAAGATATGACAAAATAATAATAATTTATAAATTATCAGGGTTCATGAGGGAGGGGAAAGCAGGGAGGGAGGGGGGAAATGAGGAGCTGATACCAAGGGTTCAAGTAGAAAGCAAATGTTTGAGAATGATGATGGCAACAGATGTACAAATGTGTTGACACCGTGAATGTATGTCTGGATTGTGATAAGAGTTGTACGAACCACAACAAAATGATTTTAAAAAGAAAGAAAGTAGTGGTGGGGGAGGGGGGGAGAAGAAGAAAGAAAGGAAAAAGCCTGTACAGGCAGAAAGTGAATCACGTGATGCATCTGGCCACTGACACAAAGGGGCAGTGCTTCGGTCTCAGTGCCCTTGGGCACTGTGACAAGATGAATTGTTCCGTGTCTGACCATTTCAGGAGGTCGTATATGATCAACATCTAATGGTTTTGAACATAGAAGTTCAAGCTCTAGTGGAGGCATTGGTAAAAAATAAGGCTCCAGGAATTGATAGAATACCAAGAGAAAGGTTTCAATAAATGAATGCAAGACTCATCTCTGCCAAGAAACTTCGAAGAAAGCTACCTGGTCCATCAGCTGAATCTATATTCATGGTCATTCTGAAGAAATGTGATCCACTGGATGTAGAAATTATCAGACAATGTCATTGATATCGTACCTATGTACATTTTGCTGAAGTTAATTCAAAAGTTGCTCTAGCAGTACATCAGCAGGGAACTAGCCAGACTCAGAAGAGAGCATAGAATGAGGGCAATGAGACGGGTTTAGGCTAAAAACACAGAATACCAGAGAATGCATACCTGTATTTTATTGGCTATACAAAAGCATTCAGCTATACATTATAATAAATTATTGATAGCATTGCCAAGCATGGGAATTCCATAACACTTAATGATACTCATGCAGAAGCTGCACATAGAGCAAGAGGCTCTACAGTTAACCAAAACAAGGGGTTGGGGCATGGTTCACAATCAGGAAAGATGTGCATGAGAGTTTGTTAGGAAGCTAGAGGCAGAGTTAGGGGTTGCCCCTCTAACATGCCAAAGCCTCCCTCCCCCGTTACAGGAAGTTGGCAGCTCCTTAAGACTGGAGGGCATGCACACTTTCAGGTCTTTGAGACAAGAAGCCAGTAAACCTGGGTGGGACCCCATCCAGGCCAGGTGGGTTTAATTCAGCCAATGGGGTTAACCAGAGAGACCTCATAAAGCCAGAAGTTTTCTCTCTGGCTCTCCCGGCGGCTCTGAGACACAGTGCAGCATGGCCAGGCTATGTCCCAAGTGGCCAGGCTGCGGCTCCACGCATTTTTGCCACTTCTATCCTTTATAAACTCACTTGGATCACCAACCAGGCTTCAGTGTGAATTCTTTCTCACGCAAAGTCAAAGACCGAGGTATTTGTCTCACGAGAGAGACCTAACAAGGTGCTTACTTTCATCATACTTTTTCAATATGTATGTTGATCAAGTAATCCGAAAAACTAGAATATATGAAAAAGAATTTAGCACCAGGATTGGAGGAAAGACTCATTATCAACCAACAATATGCAAATGACACAAGCTTGCTTGCTAAAAGTGAAGAGGACTTGAAGTATCTACAGATGAAGATCAAAAATTACTGCCTCAATACATGTTACATCTCAATATAAACAAGGAGCCCTGGTGGCATTGTGGATTACAATTCAAAACCAGGCTCTTCACGGGAGAAAGATGAGGCTCTCCGTGCCAGTAAAGAGTTACAATCTCAGCCACGCACCAGGGCAGTTCTACCCTACCTATAGATTGTCTGTGAGTCAGAATTAGCTCAATGGCAGTGAGTTTTGGGGTTGAGTCAATAAAAGAAAGCAAAAACCCTCACCTCAGGACCAAGAGGCAACATCATGATAAAGAAGAGATGGAAGTTATAAAGGTTATTATTTTACTTCTATCCACAATCAATGACCAAGGAAGCAGCAGTCAAGAAATTAAATGACATTACTTTGGGCAAATCTGTTGCAAAGACAAATTTTAAGTGCTAAAGAGTAAAAATGTCATGTTGAAGACTCAAGTGAGCCTGACCCAAGTCATAGTATTTTCAATCAAATTATGTGCATGCAAAAGCTGGACAATGAATAAGAAGATCAAAGAATGGATGCCTTTGAGTTACGGTATTGACGATACCAGGGACTGCCAGAGCAAACAACCCTATCTTGGAAGAAATACAACCAGATGCTCCTTAGAAGCGAGATGGCAAGACTTCATCTTACGTACTTTGGAAATGTGAGACGGAGAGACCAGTTCCGGACAAAGACACAATGCTTGGTAAAGTAGACCAGCGAAATAGAGGGAGATCAAGGAGACAGATGGCACAGTGCCTGCAACAACGGACTCAAACATACCAACGGTTGAGAGGGTGGCACAGGACCGGCAGTGTTTTATTTAGCTGTACATAGGATCACTATGAGTTGGAAGCAACCCGATGACACTAACAACCAAAGGCTCTCTAGAAGTTAAGTCAGAACCAACTCGTAACACCTACCGATAAACAATAACACAGCGGTACATCTTAACACCTACCAACAAACAATAACATACTGGTTCTTGCTTCCCTTAAGCCTGCCAATACCCACTCTACTTGATGAGTCCCATTGTAGAATCATGTTTATCTCAGCTATTTCTCTGGAACTAATCTTGGTAGCTTGTAGATTTTACCATTATCTTTGCTGTATCTCTAATATGTGACCAAAACTGAACTATCTTTGCTTAGTGGTTCCTATTCTTTGTGAAAGCCAAAAGCCTTTCCCAAGCCTTGAAGCTTAGAAAGGTGAGCTGGCTTAGGCTCATTTCCCACAAAGTCCTGTAAAGTCTTTCTCAAAGCACTCATCACGTTTGTATGGAAATGAGTTCTTTCACACTCGGAATCCCTTTACCTCTCAGTGCAGCATTCCCATTCTTGGTCTCCCCAGTATCCAGCACTGTGCTGGCCCCTGGTCTGAGAACTAATGTCTATGAACGGACGCTGTCCCATCAAACTGACTGAAAGCAAAGCAAGATCATGAGCAAACACAATGGCCTTTTTCCAGGCCTCAAGAATAGATAATAATTATTACCTTTAAAAATGCCCAGTCTCTAAAGTCCAGATGATATTTTGCAAGAATTGTTTATAAAGATAAAATTCTGCTCTAAAATTTATGGGTCTGCTAGGATTCTCTGAATTTCAGGTCCTGAGCCAACCAAAAATGTTGATGTGGTTTTAATCTTCAACTTCCTTCCTTACAGGAAAACCAAGTAAGATAAGAAAAACAATAATAAAATGCTTTGTCCTCTCTAAAAATAGAAATAGAGAAAAAGTCTTTGGTGTATGAACACACTCAGGCTGCGATGGAAAACGCAGATCCTAATCAAGAATGGCCTAAGAACAAAAGCATAATTTTCTAATTGTGATACATATATGTATCTCTATATGGATATATATCAAAACATTTGCCATTTTAACATACATTTTAATCAGGTCAACACGCAATGCAAAGAAAAGAAAAATCTCACCTTAAAATAATTTGGAACTCTTCCATAAATCCCACCAAAAGGAAGAAGCACAGTGCCTGAGGAAAAGAACAGCAAAGTATGATGTCAGCTTGCAGTGTTGAGCTGAAAATCAATGAACGTGTCAAGATCTGTGAATTGGGAATGTAAGAGTATAAAAGAAACACAGGAAAGATTATATGATTCAGTGTTTCTTTTTGTTTCTTATTTAAAGAAATATTCAGCAGCATATGGCCTCAAGCATTTCCTTGGGGTCCCATTATATTTTAATGCCCCTCTCTACTCCCCTTCTCTTGAACTTCAGCACCCAGGTGAATGTCCAGCGGGAAATAGCCCAAGGAAAGTGACCGTGGTGATTGCTGAGAAGCTAGAAAGAAAATGGGCTTCAAAGTTGAGTCTTAAAGAGTTGCTGCGTAGCCCGGGGCACAGAATAAAGATCCTTGCCTTCTTCCTGAGGACGCCCCTCGCTCAACACCTCTGAGGCCTTTTAAAATCCCTATGTGATAGCATGTTGACAGTCTAGCAGGTTGCAAAATTGTATGTAAGATGTGAGAAAAAAACAAATGTGTACTGAAAAAAATATATCTAGAAAGAAGTAAAACAAACAATAATTGTTTATTTCCAGGTGGTGAAATTGTATATAATTTCTATTGTATTATTTTTTACTTACATATATTTTCCTATTATAACTGACAACTTAAGGCAAATAATACAACATATCAAATGCATACAATTCATAGTCCAATATAAATGTGTTCTAAAACTTTTTCCACAATCAACAGGCCAATAAACACCCCCTTCTCTGAATTCCTCAAGTCTTCTTTTGTGTTTAGTTGCTCAAAAAAGCTACAGGATTACTGTTTGTTGGTTTGGTTTGGTTTTTTCCTAGAGCCCCCATCATTAATTTTCCCAGAACATCAATTCTCCTTTGATGCTCTCTACCTTTGCATTGCAAAATCCTACATGTCTATTTCTAGATGGCATCATGATATACTGGGTTATGTGCTAGGCAGCTACCTGGAAGAGTAGTAATTTGAGCCTGCCAGCTGCTCTCCCCATAAAGATTTACAGGATTGGAAACCCGATACATAGTCATTTTTGGAATGTTGAAAAACAAGGATGTTACCTTGAGAACTAACATGCACCTGACCCAAGCCATGGTATTTTTTTTATCATTTTATTGAGGGCTCATACAACTCATCACAATCTATACATCCATCCATTGTGTCAAGCAGATTTATACATGTGTTGCCCTCATCATTGTCAAAACATTTGCTTTCTACTTGAGCCCTTGCTATCAGCTGCTCATTTCCCCCCTCCCTCCCCGCCCCACCTCCCACCCAACCCCACTGGGTGTTTGGGCTGAGTCTGGACCAGGCTGCCCCTTTCCGCAGCCTCTCCGAAAGACGGATGACCTGCTGGACTTTGCAGGCCCTGCTTCCAGCTTCTGGAGCTTATCTCTCCAGACAGGGTCCACTCAGTCCCTTCCCCCAGCATTCCAAGAAGCAAGTCTGCAAAAACCAGATGATTTACTCTCAGGCCCCATCCTGATTCAAATCCTACAGCTAGAGCACTAAAAGCCTCCCTTCCCATTATCAGTACATCCGTCCTAGGCTCAAGCCCTATATAGATCCCACCGCCTCACTGCCAGGTGGGACTTTCTTGACCTAACTCATTGGGTTGTGGAATCAGCCCAGGAGTTCTTTCCCGGCCTCAATAAATCCTTTCTTAACTTCACATTCCTGGCTGAATTCTATCTCTGCTCTGCGCCTCCATTTTCACCTCTCACTTGGTATTTTCAATGTGTGTGAAAGTTGGACACTGAATGAGATAGTTAAGGTTTATTGTGCCAACCTGGCCAATAAACACATGTGGGATTAGTTGAAGGGTGGAAAGATAAATGGCTCGCCTTTCTAGTTCTTTGCTCTCTGATAGTCAGACCAGGGTGCAGCTGCCTTAACCAGTTCCCTGCTTCAGCTGGCAAGGTTCACTTCCTATGAGACATCCCTGAGAAGAAGCCACATGGACCTACTCTGGGTGCTGGACCAGCCCTGGGTGCTGGACCAGCCATGTGGAGACCCCTGTCAGCGCTGAGAGGCTTACACACTCACTGATTCGGCTTTCCTCCTGCAGCCGGCGTCATTGTGTGTGTTTTGTGAGATTGAGGAGGACTTTGTAAATTAGTGTCAGACATATGGGCTAATGTTAGACTTATGGGCTTGGACAGCACTGGGTTGGGGTGCTTTCTTAATGTACACTTACCCTTTATATAAAACTCTTTTATATACATATGAGTTTCTGTGGATTTGTTTCTCTAGTCTACCCAGACTAACACACTGAATAAGGATGATGACCAAAGACAAACAATACATTTGAATAATGGTGCTGCAAAGAATATTGGAAGTACCATGGACTGCCAAAAGAACAAACAAATCTCCCTTGGAAGAAGTTACGGCCAGAATGAGCCTTAGAAGCAAGATGGCTGAACATCATCGCACATTGTCAGAAGAGACCAGTCCCTGGAGAAGGACATCATCATGTTTGGTAAAGTAGTGGGATTCGAAAAAGAGGAAGATCCTTGACAAGATGGTTGACACTGTGGCTACATCAATGGCTCAAACATAAGAGCAATTATAAGGATGGTGCAGGACTAGGCAGTGTTTTATTCTATTGTCACTATGAGTTAGAATCGACTCAATGGTACCTAACAACAGCAATGAATTGGAGTAGGCATGATGGCAATGGATTTGATTTTTTTTTTTTTTTTACGGTCCTATAAATCTTTAAGTGTGTGGATTATCGTAAGAGGCACAGAGGTGCAAAGGAGCTGTGAGTAGCTGGAAATAGGTTAACAATGATTAAGGTGACATCATCACATCAGCTCTGGATGTAGCATGGAGGCATGGACCTAATTTGTGAGGTCACTGTGCCTTACCACATACTAGTCACTTGTGAGGGAATGATGTGTCCTTCACCACAAAACCCAGGGTTAGCTGGGTCAAGGCAGCTCAAAGGAAAGCAAGCCTCTTTCGTTCCAACGCTTTTCTAGAACATCACAGATGCAAGTTAACTCCGTTACAAGGAGTCTAGAAGTAACAAGTTGCTCTGGAACTCCCTCTAGGATTTAGTTCACATGGAAGTGAAGGCAAAAGAATCCCACCACCACCCCCAGCTTCACTCCTTAAAAGATCAGCCTTAGAAACCGCTGTTGGCTTCAGAATAAAAACAGGGTTTCTTTGGTTGACCATGACTCATTGAGACCCCAACTCATGGTGACCCTATGTGTGTCAAAGTGCAATTGTTTCCCATACGATTTTCAATGTTTGATTATTTTCCAAAGGAGATCACCATCTCTTTCGTTCAAGGCACCTCTGTCTGGATGGACTTGCTTTTCAATACTTCAAAGTTTTAGGTTTGAATAGCCAAAGCTTTCCCAGCTTTCCCTTTTCTGAAGCTCATGCTTCAGATTTATTGTAACACTGTGAATGTGTGTTCAAAGATAGACCACCACTCTGTCTGCAACTTAGAGAGAAAGAATTACTTGATCTGCTGGTGTTCTATCATCAAAAAGATTGCATGTATGTTGTCGTATCAGCAAACTATCATAATAATCAATGATTATGGATGCTCATTTGGACTACAAGACAACTATTATGATGTCTCATTTTGAAATAAATAAGCAAATGGGTTGCTAGTTAATACAACTATTAAAAGTGACAATACTTTCAGAAAGATTAGATTCCTTTTGAGCTAAGCAGTCTTCAATTTTAAATAGAAGTACAAGCCAGAGAATTATAAGTTATATTTTACCATAATTCTAAGTCTACAGCACTACTGGCTATTCTAGCATTAAACAAATTTGTGAGTTGTGTTTAATTTTCATTTATTGCATTCCATTAAATGAACATTAAAATTCCATTGCTGTTGAGTCGATGCTGACTCATATAGACACTACATAAGGTTTCTTTCCAGGAGTAGACAACCTCAGAGCAGCTGAGGGGTTTGACCCTACTTTTGACCTTGGTGTTAGCAGTCCAATGCTTATTCAACAGTGCCCCGAGGGCACCTTCCAGCACTGCTTGCTCACTCGCCATCAGCTGAGTCCAACTCCTAACGACCCTATGTGACAGGCTACACGACCCCTCGTTCTGGGAATAGAGAGCCTCATCCTGCTCCCATGGTGCAGCTTTCTGCTTGAATTGCTGACCTTGCAGTTAGCAGCCCAATGCCTATCCCACTAGGGCTCCAGCAGGGCTCCTCCACATTACTGCTAGGGCTCCTTGATTCCATGTTAGCCATGCGTTATTCAGAACTCTATATTGTCCATCATCTAACACCAGTAGAAAGTAAATGTTTTGAGAATGAAGTACAAATGCACTTTACACAATTGATGTGTGTATGGATTGCGATAACAGCTGTATGAGCCCCTAATAAAATGTTTAAAAAAAAAAGAAAGGGGGAACCGATCACAAGGATCTACATATACCCCCTCTGGGGGACAGAACAGAAAGTGGGTGAAGGGTCGGTGTAAGACATGAAAAAAATTAATTATCAAGGGTGAGGGAGGGAGGGTTGGAAAAGGAGGGGGGGAAATGAGGAGCTGATACCAAGGGCTCAAGCAGAAGGCAAATGTTTTGAGAATGATGATGGCAACAAATGTACAAATGTGCTTGACACAATGGATGTATGTATGGATTGTGATAAGAGTTGTACGAGCCCCCAATAAAATGAATTAAAAAGTTAAAAAAGAAAAAAAAAGAAAGTAAATGTGGATTCAGTACTGCAATTAGACAACATATGAACTTTGGGAGCAAGTAAATAGTTGACAGTGCTGAGAAACTGCTGTTCCAGCAATATAATTCAATTATTATTTTTATTTTAAATATTAAAACGTGTCATAATAAAATTACAATAATTATTTCAACTTACTTCCAGTCACAGAGAGAAAGATGAGGCTTTTTAATCCAGGAAAGAGTTACAGTTTGGGAAACCCACAGGGGAAGTTCTACTTTGTATTATAAGATCACTACGTCAGCACGGACCGGGTGACGTCCCAGAAAATCGGTCTCTGCTGATTTCTGTCTTTGGCTTTGACTGAATAGTAATGTTTAGGGCTGTTTTGGATTTTTGTATGTTTTTCTGTTTTTAACTCTGACCATTTTGTATGGCAAACATATTGATTGCTAACTCTCGTTTCATTTCCATCTGTCTGTAGCTTCTACTCTCACAACCCTAACCTTCTTGCCCACGATCCCAAATTCTACAGTTCCAAGTCCACTTTGCTCCAAGGTTCTTGGTTGGATAGGTTAAATCCTGGGGCCCAAATGTCTGGCTCCATTTCAAGCAAAATAATACAAAAATGTTTTCATAAAAAAATAAGTATATTGTTGTATTATTTGTAACATTCTCTGGATTTTCATAAACAATGTCTACAACTATTTTTTTTATTTTTGTTGTGGATTGGTTTTCCATTCAACAATTCATACACATTTTGTTCTGTGATTGTCTCCAATTCTTAGTTCCAAGCCCTCTGAACCAGCAATTTAAATCCAAGACAAGTAAAAGGAATCCACTTTGAGCAAAATTTATTCAAATGGAATTTTTTTAATCACGCGATCTTTTTCCTCTCTTCCCATGCATCTCTCCTTATCTAATTGCTTTTAGTAAAGGATTACTTCCGTTTGAGATAACTTCAGTTACAAAGTAATGAAATTATTATCTTACCTTCATGTTTGGGGAAACATTCAGTTCAGAAAAGAGAAGAAAAGTTTCCACTGTAGGCACTGGGCGAATTCTGCAATAACAGAAATAACCTGGGAGTCAGCCTCCCTCTGTCTCTCCGTGCTGTGGACTGATTTGGCACTTATATCTAGAGACAGTGGTCTTGTGACTTAGCTCCTGCCCCAACCAGATTCTCCTGGAACACAAAGGCTGTCCTTGTACTTAGCCTAACTCTGGAAGCCAGATGCATTTTATCAATGACATGGGCCTTAGTTAGAGCCAGCTGGGACTATTTGGAACTATTTGGACTATTTTTCTATGAAAAATATCTGTAAATCGGAAAAGGCAGAAAATGTTCTCATATCACTGTGTAAGTGGTTCTCAACCAAGGACATTTTGTGTGTAAGGCGAAAGATAACCACCCTTCCTGTCTCAGCTAATAAGTAAACAGATGTCATGACTCTCTTAAAGGGTGCTATCTCAGAATTTTGAAACGAGAGGGAGAAAATAACTAAATGCAGTTCTTTCACCCACAGCGTACATGGAACATTCTGGACTGGAATTGTACCTCCAAATAAATATAGGTTAACAATGTGTGGCAGTTACTTAATGTGATGTCAGTTTTAGACTTAAGAGGGAAGGGGTGGAGTTTAGCCTGTCAATCAGGTAACAATCAGGGAGCACCTCATTTGGAGGTGCTAAAGAAATGCATAGCTTGTTGGAGGCAGGACACATGCTCTCTCCCTGTAAGACATTCCTGTTGAGAAGACACATGGAGCTACGCTAGAGCCTTGGAGCCAAAGGAGCCATATGGAGACCCCTGCCAGCACAGAGATGCTTCCACTGCCACTGGATCCACAAGGCTTTCCACCCACTGGCCTGTGAGCTTCCTGCATTCAGCATCATTGCATGGGTTGTGTGAGTCAGAAGAGGAATTTATCAGTTGGTATCAGACATATTGGCTAATATCGGACTTATGGACGTGATCTGGACTGGGCTGGAATATTTTCATAATATTCAATTGCTCTTGTATATAAAGCTTTTTCTTATACATATATGAGTGTCTATGAATTTGTTTCTCTATGCAGCCCAAGCTGACACACAATGAAAGATGCATCCCTTTGAGACCTGGTAGAGGAGCAACAGTAGAGACAGCTAGGCCAGAGATAGAGCAGAGTGGGATACATGACTGAGTGGAACTATAGCTCAGAGGAGCTCCTAGAGTCGGGCCTTCTCTTTCAACAAAGTCCTCAAGCTATTTTCCACAGGTATTGCCTCAGAGACTGACAACCAATGCCAGATTGTGTACTACAGTCCCCAGAATCCTTTGCGTGCAATGTCATCTGATGGAAATAGAAATGTTTAAACTGAAATTTTCAGAATTTGTCACACCCCCAGGAACCTTTAAATCCCCCTGACAGTTGTGTGAGCCGAGCCATTTTTGTTCTTTCACATCCCTAGCTTTTAGGTCATGACACAGCTACCTTCTGAAAGTTTAATAAATTCTCCAGCATCGTCTTTTTGTCTCAGCAGAGTAATTCTTCCTCTTGATTAAAGGCAAAATCCTGATTCCAGTAAGAGATATTGGTGAGTCAGGCAGGAGAAAGAGGAGACACTGGAAAAAGAAGCATCCTTCTCCACCAAAGGATTGGACCCGAATCTTACCCAATAAAGATGGTAAGAGGCCACCAGAACTCTGGCTCTGACTGCCGTTGGTGGGCATCCAGCAAGATGAGGGAAAGATGAAGCTACTTGCTCTCATTAATATTCACAGTCTTAGAAAACCTGCAGGGTTGTAAAACTCTGCTCTATAGCTTCACTCTGAATCACAATCTAAACAGCATTAGGGCTCTTTTTGCTTGTTTTTCTGTTTAGGTTTGGTTGCTTTTGTGTGGAAAATGGAGATCTGGTTCCCCTCCCTACACCCATGTTGATAAATGAAGTTGAAGTTGGCACAACAGATCTCTCCCCTTGTTCTGTGTGTCCGTCTTGTACCCCGACTCCTCTGTCAGTTTTTATTACTTTGACTCTCCTGATTCCTGTGATGCTGAAAGCTATGCAACCAATATTTTAAACACCATCTGGGTCACCCATGGTGAACAGGGTTGAGATGCCGCTCTAAGAACAGACTAAGAAGAAGGAAAAGACTACCCACTTTTGAAAAATTAGCCCTGAAAACCTTATAAAGAGTAGGAGGCCTTTTTTTTCATAGTGAAGGAGCATGAGCCCCTCAGGTTTGAAGGCACCACTGCTGCTTCAGAGTGGAGTTGGCCCTAGGGATGGATCATGGCTCAAAATAATAAGACATACCTACAAATACCCATTAATAATCAGAATGTGGAATGTACAAAATATGAATCTAGAAAACTTGGGAGTTATTAAAAATGAAATCGAATGCATAAACATCTATTCCCTGAGCATAAAAAAAAGAAAAGCCCAGTGTCATTGAGTAGATGATCCTAGGCTGGAAATATTTACAAGAGCTAATTACCTTGGTTCTATCCAATGTGACCACGGTTGGAGGCTCCCTGAAACTGTCTTCCAACAAAACTTTTGGAAAAGTGTAGACGAGTTAAGAACCTAAGTTCTGGGCTGCCCCTGAGAAGCAGAAACCTCTTCCAATTACACCCTTGTATTTCAGAGATAGGAATAATCACAAAGAACTCCCCCCAAAGCTGCAGGTTCTATACTGCTCCAGAAGTAGGCCTGCAGAGCCACCCCTCCCCACAGCACTGCAGACCTCAAAAGAGGAGGGTAGTCAACTGATGCTTTCTCTCCACGCTAACACAAACCACAGAAGACACTAGCAATTCTCCCCCAATATACTTCAGGGAGTGGGTCAAGTCTGTACTGGAGAAAAGAAAACGGGGTGGAGGGGGGCAGGCATGGGCAAATGTGATTAAACTCAATCTGGAAAATTCACAGGTTCCTGCCCCCTGTGAGAGTCATGGCCCATTCACTGCATTCTGACCAACTAAAAGAGATTCAAATTGCTGGAGACTGACTCTCAAAATCCAGCTAGACCTTTGGCACCGTACGGTGGCAACACTTCCCCAGAATACTGGGGAGATGAGCCAGCCCCAGGGACTGGAAGCAGGATTCAAAGTGGCATCACTTGCCTGTCTGTCGGCCCACACCCAAGGTGACCCCGGGTCAGTGAATACAGCATGGGCAGGCAAGTGGGCAGCGCCTTGGACACTTGGATAGTCTCTTCTCTCCCATTTCACATCATTTGTATTGATCATTGGCCGGAATTCTCTGAAGACTGAGGGGCTGATTTCAAAACTGGTGTAGCATTAAATTAAGTGTGGGAGGTGGTGAGGGGCCAGCCCCCACCCGCTGCTACTACCTACGGGTTCAGTAAGCACAATTGTATGGTTGAGATGTATATTTATATTATATTATTTTATATTATATTATATAAGTCATCAAGAGCATGAGAGATATTACAATAATGCAGTTAGACACATTACATGGTAGCATTGCTCACCTCAGCCCAGCTTGGTGGTCCACGTGGAGAGAGGGGGAAGGGAAGGAAGGCAAGGGAACAAGGGAGAGAGGGGAGAGGAGAGGGAGAGGGTCAGAGCTCTATATTGCTGACCCACGCCTATATACCTTTTGGGGGTATGCCAGTCCACTAATTACAGGTAGAGTCATATGTCACAGGGAAGGGCTGCAGTATAGGTTACACAGCAGTGAGAAGGGGTGGTCTAGGGACACACACGCAATAGGAAGAGGAGGGATTGGGGTATACACGTGACAAGATGGGCGGATCCCAGATTCAGGATGGCAGCCTAACATCAGATGTCACAGAGCTGGATGTCACAGAGCCAGTTTGGTCTCTTCCTGGCCCAACTGATAGAGACCATTATCAGTAGGATGTGAACTCAGCTTACAGGAGCCTGTCCATTGTCCCCAGCAGCAGGGAGCAGGCCCAGTGCAGTCTGGCAACTGATCGCCCTCAGGGGAGGGAATGCCTGCGCATCTGACCTCCCCCCACAAACTGGCATCTTGAAGGAGACAATACTGAATTATTTCTTGCCTTTGGCACCTGCTCCAAAAAGGCTAGTGTCAAACAACCTTCCCGCCCTTGACACTCTGGACTCTATAGCAGGTGTACAGAGATTGTGCTTAGCCAGAGGCAAATATAAAAATAACACTCTGTATAGGAGGCAGCAGGCAATCTCTGTGAAATGCAAAAACAAAGGAAATTAAGGGGAAATGGTTCAGTTAAGTACAATACATGCAGATGGCAGAGTTTAGGTCAGTGAGTGCAACTGCTTGAAACAAATGGGGGAAATATTTCTATAGAAACACAGCAAAAACAGAAGAGAAGATAGAAGAACTCAAGACAGTACTACAAGACCAATCTGGCAAAACAAATGAAAAACTAGCAATAATTCAACGACTCTAAAGATAAATTCAAAAGGCAAACAGCTGGATAACTTTTTGAAAAAATTTTTTGAAAAACTTTTTTGAAAAGCAAAAAAACTGGATAACTTTTTGAAAAAATAAAACAGAAGAATAGAAGCATGAGTCAGTGCTCTCCAAGACAAATCTCTTGAGACCAAAATAACAAAAATAGCAAGCTATTAAAAAACATCCAAAAAACTGAAGATAAACTAAGAATCCTATATGAAAACATCAATAAGAAAAACTTATAATTGATAAGCCTTCCAGAACAAAAAAGAAAAAAGAATTACAGAGAAAATAGTTAAAGAAGTATTAACGATTATGAGAGAACAGAAAATAACTATCCAAGAATCCCAGAGAGCACAAACAGAATCAATACCGAAAGAAAACCAGCATGGCACATCAGAGTCAAATTTTCTAACATCAAAGACAAGGAAAGAATGCAGGAGCAATGGGAAAAGAATAATCACCTACCGAGAGGAATCAATTAGCATAAGCTCCGATCTTTCTTTTACTGCCTGTAACCAGGCAGGCAAGAAAGCAATGAATTGATATATAGAGATATAGATATTCAAAGTCTTGGAAGAGAAAAATTGACAACCTATAATAAAACATCCAGTAAAACTTAAATATGAAGGAGATGCTCCGGTCTAGCCAGATTTGAGACAGAACTGGGGTCATGATAGTGGGGGAAGGA